TATGATTGATCTAGTAAATATAATTATAGCTTAAGTAACTTGTATCTTCTCTAACTATTGCATATTTTCAAAACTTATATTATTGTTATTTAACATATCAACAACAGAAACACCACGTTGTTTTTTTACATCCAATTCTTTCAACTCGGGTACTTTGTTTTTATACTGCTTAAGGTGCTTTCTAAGATTTGATGTCGTTCTATCTTGATATACTAACTTTGTATTACAAAAATCACATTTCGCAAAATCATTTTCTTTTTTAAAGTATAACCATACAAAAGATCTGTAATACAAACAATTGTAAGTAAAACATTCTAAATACAGTAAAAAAACAATCCTTTTTGGAAAAGTTTTATTTTACCTAGTAGGTACGACTTTGTGGTTACTTGTTTTACCAACTTCGGGTTTATCCTGGCAAGTAGGTGTTGGTTCACATTCTTCATGTCTATTTGAATAGACTGGCATTGGTTTATATTCTTCAGGCCTATTGGAGTAAGTAGGCGCTGGTTCATAATTTTCAGGTCCACTTAAGTAAGCAGAGACTGGTTCATAGTTTTCAATATAATAAGGTGTAGACGAAGTTGACATTGTAATTACTGGCTTATAAAAGTTGTAAAAGATAAAATGCAAAACGCGAAAGTTCTTACATATATATATATATATATAAAAAAAAAAAAAAAAAAAACATCTTATAATCTTAGCATTAATCTTAGTTTTTTTTTTATTAAAAAAAGGCTCTTGTGCCATATTCATTATCTTAAAAAAAAAAAGGATCTTATAATTCTTATACGAATTCATAAAAAAAAAAAAAGGTTCTTAAGAGTTCTTAAGTTCTTATTCAATATTCATATAAGAAGTAGCTCTTAGCTCTTATACAATATTCATAATGCTTTTTTTTTCTTTAGAAAAATTTTAAAACGCTCTTCTTTATGATGGCTTAGAGATTATCTGTAGAATTAACCAATTAGAGTACACAACCTACAGCCAATCAGTGTACGCTATTTGAATGGATCCTAACGGGTATACCAGATCAGATCCCCCACATGAATTCGAATTTTGTCAAATCTTATATTTTATGGATTTGGATCCGATTCGACCCCTCGGATCTGAATCGGATCTGGATCTCGGATTGGATCTGCGGAACACTAACGGTTAATCATGCATGCATTCCTTCGAAACACAATTATTAAAGCGAACAGAATTAAGCTTCATATTTATCCCAGAAACCTATTGAATGATCAAATAATTACAGTTAATCATGCATGCATTCCTTCAAAACACAATCATTAAAGCGAACAAAATTAAGCTTCATACTCACCCCAGTGATCTATTGAACGACCAAATGATTACGGTTAATCATGCATACATTTTTTTGAAACACAATTGTTAAAGCGAACAAAATTAAACTTCATACTCACCCTGGTGATCTATCGAATGACCAAATGATTACATTAATCATGCATGCATTTCTTCAAAACACAATCATTAAAGTAAACAGAATTAAGCTTCATACTTACCCCGGTGATCTATTGAACAACCAAATGATTATGGTAATCATATATGCATTCCTTCAAAACACAATCGTTAAAGTGAATATAATTAAGCTTCATACTCACCCAGTGATCTATCGAATGACCAAATGATTACGTTAATCATGCATGTATTCCTTTGAAACACAATCGTTAAAGCGAACAGAATTAAGCTTCATACTCATCCTGGTGATCTATCAAACGACCAAATGATTATGTTAATCATGCATGCATTCCTTCAAAACACAATTGTTAAAGCGAACAGAATTAAGCTTCATACTTACCCCGGTGATCTATCAAACGACCAAATGATTACATTAATCATGCATGCATTCCTTCGAAACACAATTGTTAAAGCAAACAGAATTAAGCTTCATACTCACCCCAGTGATCTATCGAACAACCAAATGATTACATTAATTATGCATGCATTCTTTTGAAACACAATCGTTAAAGTGAACAGAATTAAGCTTCATACTTACCCCGGTGATCTATTGAATGACCAAATAATTATATTAATCATGCATGTATTCCTTCAAAACACAATCGTTAAAGCGAACAGAATTAAGCTTCATACTCACCCTGGTGATCTATCGAATGACCAAATGATTACGTTAATCATGCATGCATTTCTTCGAAACACAAACATTAAAGTAAACAGAATTAAGCTTCATACTCACTCCAGTGATCTATCGAACGACCAAATGATTATGTTAATCATGTATGCATTCCTTCGAAACACAATCGTTAAAGCGAACAGAATTAAGCTTCATACTCATCCCAGTGATCTATCGAATGACCAAATGATTACATTAATCATGCATGCATTCCTTCGAAACACAATCGTTAAAGTAAACAGAATTAAGCTTCATACTCACCCCAGTGATCTATCGAACGACCAAATAATTACATTAATTATGTATGCATTTCTTCGAAACACAATCGTTAAAGCGAACAGAATTAAGCTTCATACTCATCCTGGTGATCTATCAAATGACCAAATGATTACGTTAATCATGCATGTATTCCTTCGAAACACAATCGTTAAAGCGAACAGAATTAAGCTTCATACTCACCGTGGTGATCTATCAAATAACCAAATAATTATGGTTAATCATGCATGCATTCCTTTGAAACACAGTCATTAAAGCGAACAGAATTAAGCTTCATACTTATCCCAGTGATCTATCGAACGACCAAATAATTATGGTTAATCATGCATGCATTCCTTCAAAACACAGTCATTAAAGCAAACAGAATTAAGCTTCATACTCACCCCAGTAATCTATCGAACGACCAAATGATTATGGTTAATCATGCATACATTCCTTCAAAACACAGTCATTAAAGCGAACAGAATTAAGCTTTATACTTACTCCAGTAATCTATCGAACGACCAAATGATTATAATTAATCATGCATGCATTCCTTCGAAACACAGTCATTAAAGCGAACAGAATTAAGCTTCATACTCACCCCAGTGATCTATCGAACAACCAAATGATTACAGTTAATCATGCATGCATTCCTTCGAAACACAATCGTTAAAACAAATAGAATTAAGCTTCATACTTACCATGGTGATCTATCGAACGACCAAATGATTACGGTTAATCATGCATGCATTCCTTCGAAACACAATCATTAAAGCAAACAGAATTAAGCTTCATACTCATCGCGATGATCTATCGAATGACCAAATGATTACGGTTAATCATGCATGCATTCCTTTGAAACACAATCATTAAAGCGAACAGAATTAAGCTTCATACTCACTGCAGTGATCTATCGAACGACCAAATGATTACGGTTAATCATGCATGCATTCCTTCGAAACACAATCGTTAAAGCGAACAGAATTAAACTTCATACTCACCCCAGTGATGATTATATATACATTCCAAGTTAAGCAAGGAAACCTCCACAAAATACAATCCAGAATAAATGATAACAATAACCCTGAATTTAAAAGCGATCAGCAACATCACCTTTGCTTCATAATGATGTAATGATAATGACAAAATTATGTCATATTCTCATCATAATGACAAAATTACATCATGTTTGCATCATAACAACAAATCTTAATTCCTACTATAATTGGACAAATAAAAACCATTACTCATACTAAAAAAGGATTTTTCAAAAATCAGCATAGCGAACATCAAAAAAGTTCAATGAAAACCATCCCTCTCACATTTCATGTTACACATTCAACGTGATCGTACTGGTATAATATAGAGATCTTATATATTGATAAGTTATATATGTTGATTAATATAACGAATAAACCTTATATAATAAATTTAATATAGAGAAATTCAATTACCGTATAAGTCCGAAAGTAAACAACCCCGAAAATAAGCAATACCTTAGTCTTAAATGTTAAAATACTAAAAAAATAAAATAAGCAACTCTTATAAATAGAATAGATAGAATTAAGTATTTCAAAGTTACTGAATTTAAGCAACCCTTTAAAAAATTTGGCTAAAATGGGTGGCTTAGAGGGTTGCTTATTTTCGGACC